TTTAGTCACTTAAGGGTGTTTTTATCTTTTTATAGCAAATGGGTCATTTTGGGATTATTGTCAATTGGAAAAGTCAAAGTGGAATTAGGGACATTTGACTAGGTCATTTTGACAAGTACTCCGGTGAGAGGAGGAGGAAGAAGAAGAAGATACAATTTTTTTTTACCCGTTTTTCATTTTTTTGTGGGTTTTTGATGTAATTATTTTAATTGTTTGGTGTGATGAATATATAATTACTATTTTACCCTGTGAGTTGCAGCCATCATATTCCCTTGTGGGTTATAATACTTAGCAACTAATACTGAGTACTGTTTGTGGGTTGAGCAATCTGATTGAGGTGGTGTTGATTGTTGATTTGAAACCGAGCCTGTTATTTGTACATAAATCGAAGATCTTGGTTAGGATTTTCGTTACATAAACATCTAGCAAAGAACCTGAATAATTGGATTAAAGAAATTTCACGACTAATTCTTGTTTAAATTTCAAACACCAATATGTAGAGACGACAAATATACATCAATTAAGTTATTTGTACATTCACAGTTGACATCTTGGATGACATTCCTTTTATGAGTAGAAAATTTGACAATTGATTCGAAAAAATGTTATTAAAATCAATGTACAAAAAGTTACCAACTCACACAATGTCATTCATGATGTCAAATTTGATGTACAGCAAGCAAAACTGAATATACATACATATTGGCATGCCTCATCATTTAAAGCAAGCAACAAGTACCTTTTTTTTTTCATTTCTTTTAAATTTATGTAAAAGGCGGGGAGGGAGCATTAATAATTAGCTTGGCTATCTTATCTTTATTCCTCCTTTTTCATTTTATTAACCAAAAAAGTACAAATGAAGTATTACTTTAGAATGTACCAAGTATAGCTCCATTGGTGCCTGTGGTGTAACATTGAAAGCGCCTAGTCCTACACTTCAATATTCCATTGGGGCCTAAAAGCCGCGGCATGGATTGATTGCCATCAACGTTTTTTTTTTTTAAGTATCTTTAGAAAAAAAAAATACTTTTTATTGTATTGTCCAATATATTTGTATTTTCATCACCTCGTTTGTTCTTGTTTTTTAAAACATACATTTTAATAGTAGAAACCACCATGTTCAAAAAAGTTTCTTCAAATTGTAGCTTTTTTTGGTAAGCTGAATTAAAAATATCGAATAAGAATTTTCGTGTACATTTTAATTATGTTATTCAGTTCAAAGCCTTACGATTATATTCTTAGACCGAAATTTCATCAAATTTTAATTGGATATTTTTGGGTCAAACCTGAGTCTTCTCAGGTGAATCTAGTTTATTATGTACATTCTATCGAAGCCCTAGTGAAATGGCATGGCATGGCATGGCATGATGCTGTGCGCACTCCACGCGGTCGAGTACATGAACTTCTGTGCCTCTTTGGAATTTTAAGAGTAATTGCAAGGAACCCACCCCCTTAAATTTCCAACTCTTCCATATTTTAGGAAAAAAGTATGCTTTTGATCAGTGAGTTTATTATCAAGAAAATAGAGATCAAATGGTGGAGGAGAAACCAGCTATAGTTACATCGTCGAGATGCAATAGTGAGTCCGACATGAGATCAAAAGGTAGGAAGAAGAAGAAGGAGAGCCACCGGCAGCAGCGCATGGCGGAGGATGGCGGTGGAGAGGCAATAGTTTGCAATGGAAAGTCTTGCACGGCGGGAATGATTGCCGACTGCATTGCTGTCTGCTGCTGCCCCTGCGCAGTAGTGAATATCTTGGCTCTTGCATTCTTAAAGGTGCCGTGGATGGTGGCGCGGAAATGCTTGGGATTAGGGAAGAAGAGAAAATGTGATATGATTTACGGCCATAATGGGATGGACACGTATGAAAATTCGGAGAAAGGAACTGGAGATGAAGGTACATTGGAAATTGTAGGAGACGAAGAGCTAAGGAACAGGGCGTTTGAGGAAGAAGAGATTTGGTTAGAGTTGTACAAGGTTGGTCATTTGGGTTTTGGCAGAGTTTCTTTCACTGGAATCCCTTCTCAGACCAAGATTATATGAACATAGAAATCTTGAGATGTTAAACAACTTTATTTAGAAATAAGTTCACTCAATGTGTCAACACGTAAACCCAGAGAAAAATACGTGGGTTCCCTCCCATCTTTGTACATTGTGAAAGTCCATTTGTAGTTGATTTGAACAACATAAAGCATGGTTTAATTGATGTTCTTATTCAGTTTTTAATTTATACCAATTTGTAGTAGTTGTAATTGCTCAGTTGTTAACAAATTTACGTTGTGTTGTGGTCAACGACCAATGACTGGTCTTAATTTTAAGTGATTAGTTGTATACCTACACGAGGTAAATGCGAATTGTTTTGAATGAAATAGGTTAGGGTCTCAAATTCAAGTGCTGAACCCAATCAATTTTCATTCGAGTAATGATATACAGATAGATTACATGGAAGAAAAGAAAAGATTAATAATTTTCTTTTCTTTTTGCCTCTTTTTTCTCTCTTATATATTATATATACGTAATGATGTACAGATAGCATTGATAATTTTCATTAGACCAATATAATTAGAGACGCAGGGGCAATTGGGGCAGCATCGGGCCTTGGCTGACTCGGGGATGTGGATCATCGATTGGGCCAATACTTTGGGGCTGGATATTTTATGCAGACTTGGATTCATGGATCAAGAATGAAATAAGGGAACAATACATTTTTAAGGTGTTTACTTTACCCTTTTTCAAAAATACCAAAACAAGTTCCAAAATTCACAAATCAGATTTTTTAATTTTTTTTTATGAATTAATAAATTATTAAATCAATTTATTATTAAATATTTAATTCTAATATAATATATTTATCCCACCCCTACTGCTCCGGGAACTATTCCGACTATCGTTCCGGTCACAACTCATCTTCGGTGACTGTTCCGACGATTGCTCCGATTCCGGCGATGATTCTGATGACCGTTTCGCCGCTCCGCCCACTGCTCCGATTCCGACAAGTGTTCCAACTCCGACGAAAAATTTTAGGTCACTAATCAAAATTTTTATAGGTCACAATTTGTTTATCGGTCACAACTTAAAAATTTAAAAAGTCACAATTTATTCATCGGTCACATATCACAAAATTTATAAGTCACAATACTTATTTCACAGTCACAAACATCAAATTAATTATATTTATGTCACAATTTATCAAATTTTAGGTCACAAGTTAATAATTATAAGGTCACAAAACATTTATTGGTCACAGTTTATCTAATTCATTGGTCACATATTGTTTACTGGTCACAAACTAACCAAATTACTGGTCACAAACAACCAAATCATTTGTAACCACACCAAAATCAGTTGTGACCACCACTTCACCACTGCCTCCGCCAACGGCACCACCACCATCCCTGCCCAACGTCAACATCTCACAACCAACACCACACCCTCCCCAACACCACTATCACCATCCCCAAAACCACGTTGCCACACACACCACAAAACGGCACATAACACATAGCCACCGCTACCAACAACTTCAGATCCACAATTCCAGCGCACTATCCACCACAACGCCATGACACCGCACCGTTTACGACCACCACCGCCACACAACCATCGTACCGCCGTCGCCCACACAAGCGCCCAACCACACCCAAACAGATCTGCACTTCCACGAGACCTAACCGCTCAAAATAAAATAAAATAAAAATGGAACTGCACCTCTACCACCGCCGCACCCACACACAAACCCAACCGCACACACGCACTGACACCCAACCAAATCGACAGACTAACGGTGGAGTCCAAATAGACCTGTTAAATTCCACGACCGTCGCTGCACCTCCACCAAAAAACAAATCTGTCGCACCCAAACACCTAATCGGAAAACCCGCCGCACCCACGCACAAAAACCCCCAGCCACCGTTACATCCCAACACCACAACCACCGCGCCACAAAAAAGAAGAAGAAAGAAACGACAGAGATAGATGGCTGCAGCGTCGGCTGTTTAAAAAAACGATTGGATCTGCAAGAGAAGAACGATGAGGTAGAGGGAAAAATGTTGGATCTACGGAAATCTAGGGAAAGTGACGAGAGAATAGTGAATACAAGATAGGGAGAGGAGATGAAGAAGATCCAACGGCAGAGGCGGCGGCGACGACGGCGTAGGAGTAGTGCAGAGAGACGGGCGACGAAATTGAGTAGAGAGGTTGATGGATCAATTGATTTAGGGTTCGAGGTACATATGGTAGGGAGAGTTATATAAATGAATTCATGGTAAAATAGATATAAAAATAAATTAAAAAATATTTATAAATTAATTAAAACCTGATTTTTGAAATATGAAACTTAAATTAGGATTTATGAAAATAGTAATTTAAAAGTAGGGTTGTGTGTAATTTTCTCATGAAATAAGCCTATCAGTTGATGAATTGCTTGCAATCCAAATTTCAAGACTCGACAAGTGGATTAATTGTCAATCTTTAATTTTTTCTAGTTTTTCTGCTTGAATAGTTGCCGTTTATTTTCCATATAGATTTTCCCTTGGAAGAACAACACTATATGTAAAAAAAAAAAAATCAGAAATCATATAGAAAACACACATGGGGGTGGGCCCCATTTTTTTAAAACAATATTTAACTCATATGGGGCCCACCCCCATGTGAGTATTTGTAAAATTTCTGGAAATTTTTTTCCAGTACATTCAGAAAATTTCCCCTTGGAAATATGTGGTAAAATTAAATGATATCCACTTTCTTGGTCTTATCATTTAATACCAAATCATCTTTTATTACTCATTCTGTATAACAGGTATTAAATTGTTTAACACCACTAGTATTTAACATGCATCATTTGTATCATTAAATTATAAGTTCAATTAAGTACGAGGATTTATGAATCATTTATTGGACATACAACATATTGTTTTCAACATTACTGTGGCTAAATAACATTATTCTATTAGACTTGTTATGCATTACAATATCATATAAACAATTAAGCTCGTTGTACAGAAGAAGTTTACATCCTTTGTTGACAGATGATGAGGTGACATACATTTTGTCCCTTGATTTGAATATGGAGCATAACCGTTATATAAAATGTGAATAAGATGAAGTAACAAAATTGTCGCTGCGCCATCAAATCAAGAGACAATATAGGTGAAAAGAACATAAGATGGATGTTATCATACACAATAGAATTCATTCCAGGTAGGGCAGAGGCAAAAATATGCATTATGCAACTCCATTTTGCTATGTAGTAGTACCTTTATGGAAGAAACCCCAAGATTCTCAAGTCAATTTCCTAATTATAGCAACTAGATTACATTGTATATACTACCTTGTATTGAAAATATTCTTGCCTTATTATCTGTTGTATTATTCCTATATAATGAGAATGCATCCACTGGCAACACACGGTGGCTTTTACCAAACTCTTTCATTGTATCAGAGCTGGAATAGGATTCATATCCAACAATCCAATGGTCTCTGTCACTCCATCCCTTTCTCTATCCTTTAATACCATGGTGCACCTCCTAACCGTCAAGCTGTCCTCTTTGAACTACCTTCTCTGGCCCAGTCAAGCTTTACCATTGTAGCATTGCCAAAATCTTCTCGGCTATGTAGACAGCTCTCTAAAATCCCCTCCTGCTACTATTGGTTCTGGTGAAACTGCCATAGCCAATCCGAAATGCATTGAATGGAAGCAAACCGATCAGCTTGTTCTCAGCCTCCTCCTTGCTTCGTTAACTGAAGAAGCGCTGTCCACCGTTGTCGGATTGAACACCTCACATGAAGTACAGACCACCTTCAACCATTGTTCCAAATCTCGGGAGCTACGCTTAAAGGATGAATTACATCATATGAAGAAAGACACCCGGACTGTAGTGGAATATTCTCGTGAGTTCAAATCTGTCTGTGATCAACTTGCTGCCATGGGACGACCAGTAGATGATCTGGACAAAATACACTGGTTTTTGCGAGGACTTGGTGCTGCCTTTTCCACCACACAGTTGTCTATTACGCCCCTTCCATCCTTCACTAATCTGGTTCCTATAGCAGAGAATTTTGTCAAGTCTTTGGAGACATCTACTTCTGGACATACTTCTACTGCCTTCACTACCTCTCATGGAAACAGATCTAGCCGTGGCGGTGGTCACCCCTTTCGTAGAGGTCATGGCAATGGCAACGGTTGTTTTCCACGCAGCCGCCCCATCCGTTGTCAAATTTGCCATGAGGAAGGCCATTACGCCACCTTCTGCCATGACCGCGATCCTCGGTCCTCCAACGCTGCTAATCTTGTAGAAGCCTTTACCTCATGTTCCCTCAATGACAATCACGAGTCTGATCAACACACATGACTAACGATGTCTCCCAGCTGCACACGTCAGACAAGTACACTGGTAAGGATCAGGTTGTTGTTGGTAATGGTGCCTCTCTTCCTATCTCCCACATCGGTACCGCCTCTCCTCTCCCTTCTCTTCCTTTAAAAGATATACTAGTCGTGCCTGGCTTAACCAAAAATTTGATCTCCATCAGCAAACTTACTGCTGATTTTCCCTTCTCCATCACATTCACTAATGATTACTTTGTTATACTGAACCAAGTCACAAGAGAGGTGGTGGCAACCGGGCGACGTGACAATGGCCTCTATGTGCTCAAGCGCGGACATACCTCTTTAATTTCTGCTCTTTCCAAAAAATAGTCCTCAAGCTTCCTTTGATGTTTGGCATGCTCGTTTAGGTCATGCACCTCACTCTATTATTTCTTTATTGAATAAAAATCGTCAATTACGTGTGACTTCTTTGCTCTCGACCCCCACTATTTGCTCTAGATGTCAACTTGCGAAGGGTCATAGACTCCCATTTCAACAAAATGACAAACGAGCTTCCCATGTTTTGAATTTAATTCATTGTGATTTATGGGATCCACCCCATGTTTCCTCTAATATGGGTTACAAATATTATGTCATATTTATTGACGATTTTTCCCGTTTCACGTGGTTTTATCCTTTGAAATTAAAATCGGAATTCCATCACATTTTTTTTCAATTTCATAAATTTGTAAATCAAAGCTTTCCAGAGTGATGGAGGAACAGAATTCAGAAATCACCTTTTTTGGACTCACCTTTCGAACTGTGGCATCGGTTATCAAATGTCTTGCCCTTATACACCAGCTCAAAATGGCTGTGCCGAGCACAAAGTCATTTAACGGAAAGTGGTCTGGTAATGCTATTTCACTCACATGTCCCTCTTAAGTTTTAGGTTGATGCTTTTAGCACGGCTGCCTTCATCATCAATCGGTTGCCGATACCTACTCTTGATGGCTTGTCACCCTTTGAGATGCTGTTTGGTAAGCCTCTTGTTTACTCTACTTTACACTCCTTTGGCTGTCTTGGTTTTCCATACTTACGTGATTATGCATCTCACAAATTAGCTCCTCATAGTCGTCCTTGTGTTTTTCTTGGTTATAGCATGTCTCATAATGTCTATTGTTGCTTGATCTTTATCTGTAGGCATGCAGTTTTTGATAAACTTAATTACCCTTTTCAGGGTATCCCTTACCCTAAGTCCATGCCCGCATCTCCCGTTAGCGCATTTCTTGAGCCCGTCCCTATCTCAGATGCCTCATTACCGACTCAACCCGATCTCCTATCACCCCTTGTCATTCATGTTCTACTAATGCATCTAATAGTTTTGTGCCTATGTCTCTTTTGCAGGACGCAAATGATAACCCTACTATCCCCATCGTACATGGTTCTCCTCATGCCTCTGAGCCATTGCTGCCAGTCCCTCTCCTACCACTGAGGTATGTTCAGGCCGGCCCCCTCAACTGGCACCCATCCAATGCAAACTCGCACCAAATCCGGTATTTTCAAACCCATCCACCGCTATCATGTGTGCATGGTACCTAACTCTGGCCTCATTGAGTCTCTTCTAACTATGCGTGAACCTAAAGGCTTCAAATCCGCTGCCAAACACTCTGAATGGATTGCAGCCATGGATGAGGCAATTCAGGCCCTTCACAAGAATCATACATGGGACTTGGTACCTAAACCGCCCAACGCTAATTTTGTTGGCTCTAAATGGGTCTTCTGCGTCAAATACCTATTTGATGGCACCGTGGATCGTCTTAAGGCCCGCTTGGCTGTAAAGGGCTACACTCAACAACCAGGTATTGATTTCTCTGACACATTCAGTCCTGTTGTCAAAGCTTCCACTGTACGCGTTGTTTTATCTTTGGCCGTCTCCCATAATTGGCCTCTTCGACAGCTTGATGTTAAGAATGCGTTCCTTAATAGGTTCATACAGGAAGAAGTTTATATGGACCAGCCGCCTGGTTAAGTTGATTCTACACATCCCACACATGTTTGTCGCCTTCGTCGGGCCCTCTATGGTATCAAACAGGCGCCCAGAGTTTCGTTCATAGCTTTAGCTCCTTTCTCTTGGCCATTGGCTTCATTTGCGGTCAAGCTAATTCCTCATTATTTGTTCTCTCCAAAGGTGCTGACTTACTTTACTTGTTACTCTATGTTGATGACATTGTCGTCACTGGCAACAATTTGACACTCCTTGATAGCTTTATTCGTCGACTGACTAGCGAATTTTTACTAAAGACTTTCTGGGTTTGGAAGCTCACCGTAGTCTTCTGGTCTGTTTCGTAGCCAGGCCAAATATGCTCTTGATATTTTGCAACGTGCCAATTTAGTTGACTCCAAGCCTGTCTGTACTCCCATGGTGGTTGCTCAACGTCTTTCCACCATAGGCCCTGACTTTGATGATCCTCACCTCTATTGGTCACTTGTGGGAGCACTCCAATATCTCACTATCACTCGGCCGGACATCACTCACGTCGTTAGTACAGTCAGTCAATTCATACACAAGCCCTCTATCTCTCATTTTTTCTGACAGTAAAACGGCTAATACGATATGTCAAGTGGACTCTTCATTTTGGTTTATCCTTCACCCCGTCTTCTTCTCCAGACCTCATTGCATATTTTGATGCTGATTGGGAGGGCTGCCCAGACACCCGTCGCTCGATTTCTGGTTATGCAATCTATCTTGGTAACAATCTCATATCCTGGAGCTCCAAGAAGCAACCGACAGTTTCCCGCTCGAGTCGTGAGTCTGAATATCGAGCTCTAGCACTCACTACCTCTGAGGTTAAATGGCTACAACATCTTCTTCTTGATCTTCGTGTCTCGCATTCGCCACCTCCGATTATACTTTGTGATAATCAAAGCTCAATATTTCTTGCTGTTAATCCGACCTCTCACAAGCGCTCTAAGCACAATTGATTTGGATTATCACTTTGTGTGGAAACTAGTGGCCTCTGGCGCACTCAAGGTTCAATACGTCCCCACTTAGTAACAACTTGCAGACATGTTCACCAAAAGCCTCAGCAGACCTGCCTTCATCTTCCTACATTCCAAGCTATGCTTCCGTGCTTCTGATATGCTAGGCTTGCGGGGGGTAATACGGTTATGGAAGAAACCCCAAGATTCTCAAGTCATAGCAACTAGATTACATTGTATATACTACGTTGTACTGAAAATATTGCCTTATTATCTGTTGTATTATTTCTATATAATGAGAATGCATCCACTGGCAACACAAGGTGGCTTTTACCAAACCCTTTCAAGTAGTAATAGAAGACAACAGTTCTTAGCCAGCCAGACTCAACTCTGCAATATTTTTTATATCCAAATCCCATATCATGTTGATTAAATTACAAGTGTCGGTCGGGCAAACTCGTTCCTACAATCTGCTACCTAGTAATACAAGACAATAGTTCGTAGCCAGCCAGCCAGCCAGCCAGACTCGACTCTGCAAGATTTTCTATAGCTAAATCCCATATCATGTTAATAAAATTACTAGTCTCGATTGGGCAAACTTGTGCCTACAATGTCCTGTCAATCTTGATATACATAACAGCATCAGATGAATTTCAAGTAGCTCATAATCATATGGACACTCATTTTAAGATTTCAATATCACCATATTTGTTGGTATCTCTTCTCTTCTTTAATCGTGTCAATTTCTATTTGGTCAAGATACCAAACCATGCACCACAAAACCTGTATCCCTTTCCAAAAAAATCTCAACACTATTATCCAAATCATAGAGCTAACCAATTCTCCCCACCAAATACAAATGGCAAGAATATGATGGTATTTCATGAAAAAAACAGGAACTAAGAAAATACATGAATGCGCAATGTACAGAGAGTAGAATGAAACTAGCAGTTCCGTTCAAACACAGATTTTGCAATCAAAATGTTGGGTTTAAATCGAATGACTGGTAATAAGATTGACTGCATCTACAACTAAGCCTTAAGTACACAAATCATTCAAAATTTATCACAATTTCCATTCAATTTGATATTTAATTGAAAAAAACTAAGCGATTGAGACTTTAGCACCTGCTTCTTCTAGCTGCTTTTTGGCTTCCTCGGCTTCATCTTTAGACACTCCCTCCTTAAATTTCTTCGGCAATCCCTCAATCAATTCCTTGGCTTCCTTCAATGCCAAATTCGTCAAAGCCCTAACTGCTTTAATAGTAGCAATCCTCGCATTGCTCGGCACCTCCTCAATCATCACGTCGAACTCCGTCTTCTCCTCCACCACAGCGGGAGCATCCGCCACTCCGGCGCCTCCAGGAGCGGCGACGGCGGCTACAGGGGCGAAAGAAGCAGCAGAAACACCGAGCTTGTCCTGGAGGTACTCAACGAGTTTCTGAGCATCAGCAAGCGTCAAGTTAGAGATCTGGTCACCGAGCTCGACAACCTTCTCGGGAGCTTCTACGGCCGCGAGGCGGCGGGGGAAGGCAGCGCGGCCGCGGAGTTTGGGGTTTGTTTTTTGGAGGAACTCAATGGATTGTTTCGGAAAGGTGACTGAGGGATGCGCAGGATAAGCAGCGGAGGGTGTATGGTAAGTGGATGGACTGAGGGTTATTGAGGATAATGTGGAAGCCATTGTTGAATTTAGAGAGAGGAAGCGGGAGTGTGGAAGAAGATGAAGAGGATAGGATAAGGAGGTTGAAGTTTGGTAATGGATGAATTTTCAAGTTAATTTTATATTCCAATTTACATATAAACGGAAATGGCTAAAATTTCGATGGGCCTATGGGCCATTATATGTTCACAAAAGGTCTAAGGCCCATGATTGTCTAGTTCAAGCCCAAAAACGAAAACCGAAATGCACAAAAAGAAAAATTAAAAAGGGGCATTCCGAGAATCGAACTCGGGACCTCTCGCACCCAAAGCGAGAATCATACCACTAGACCAAATGCCCAAGCTTATCTTAGTCTTAATGGAAATATCTAACAATAATAATAATGTGAAGAAGAAAGCCAGTATGGCACCGAAGAGCAGTACAGTAGATAAGATAGAAGGGGCCATCCTCAACGTGCCAAAGCCTCTTCTAATGTCAAACTGGATGCTTTCTCTACTTTCCCTGCGACTCCTATTACTATTACGTTATTAAATTGATTGGTATCCACTATGACTTTATACATCTCTTTGAGCTATGAATAATATAAGTTGATCAAGGTGATGCCCACAAATTTTTGGGCCGAGTTTCGATTCGATTGGACATTGGGCTTCTAAATATGTGAGATGTGTTTGGGAGCCATTATGGCCAAATACAGAATACATTTTTTTAACCGTTTTAGCACGTAGGTGGGACTCAAACAAGCTATAATTGTTGATTGCAAATGTTGACAGAGCCATGTTATTTGTACATAAAAGGTTGACAATCGAGATTGACAACCTGTCACATGGGAGGTCCACTCTTTAGTTTTTTGAATTTTTTATATATACAGATTCCGCTTGCATGTGAGAGGTTGTCAACTTCTTATGTACAAGTAGATTAACTCACGTTGACATGCAACAAATTATTAGAATTACGCTTTCTTAAAGAAGAATGATTTTATTTTTTATTTTTGTGTAGGGGCACATTGGTAATTTTTCTATAATTCAGTCAAAACATACGGCTCATTCTCTGACAAGTCCAATATAACGGCTAGAATTTTTCTAAAAATATGATACAATAGCCCATGGTTGTCCCTTTGTATGTACAATGGCCATCACCTATTATTTTGTTCAGATTGATGCATTGCACTTGCACATGTTGAAGCTACGCTTTAGTTAATTGAAAGGTTTAAGTTATTCAATTGAATTCTATGTTAAAAATTTTGTACACGCATGTTTGTAAACTAGACATGATTCCATAGTGAGTTCTTGCAGAATGTAAATGATAATATGTTGCTACAAGCACTACATTCGACGGTCTTCAGACCAATTCTGTAGAATTCAATCTAGACCAAGATTTGATGCTATATGTTGAACAAATGTACAGATCGAGTAAAGAATATGTCTGTTAGAACAATAATTCGAGCAATTTCCTGCTCGGAGATGGAACTATAATGTAACGTCGAGTATTATGGCTCTCATTCCTCTAAAAATGCTACAACATGAGCATTACTGTATAAGATTTCTCAAATTCTTAAACGTGCAATGCTGTCAAAAACAAAATTTTCACCACTTTCCGTCCTACTATACCAGTAAGCAAAGGCTGCTATAGACGCAGCCAAAATAACTCCAGCAGTTGCACGCCATGCATAAATAGGTTTTTTATCCGGCACCCGACCTGACCCACCACCAATAATAGGCTGGGATGGGGGAGGTTTCTGGCTCACGGACAAGGCAAAACCCAAACCCTGCCTCTCGAGCTCGGTTAAGTCTTCAATTGCGGGTTTCAGCCTTGTGGCCTGAGCTATAGCCTCGTATTGTTCTTTAGTTCCACCCTCGAGGAATGATCCGACTAGGTGACCATTATGTATCCAGTAGGCTCCGAATGTCTTTCCCGAGAAATCCCCAAAATGAAAAACTTCCCCGATATTTTCCCCATAAAATTGCCAAGACAGTGTGAAGATTTTGGAGTAGAAGAATGGCAGGTAGTCGAATTCACCTGTCTTTTTTGGTTCCATAATTGCTGCAACTGCATGCCTTGCCGTCTTTCGTGCAGAGTCAACATGCTCGAGCCTTCGTCGTGTTTCTCCAAAAAATTTGACTGGAAATGCAGCGACATCCCCAACAGCATAGACGGAGGTGTTGCTAGATTGCATCCTATAGTTCACTTTGATCCCCCCTTTCTCCAAGGTTAGTTGGCCTTCGAACAGACTTGTATTTGGATGGATACCAATCCCGATGACAACCATATCTGCTGGAAGCTTACTTCCGTCACTCAAATTAGCAGCAGTGACCTGCAATGAAATTATATCGATAAAATGCAATTAGTATTAGAATGCAGACAAAGTAAAATTGCAAAAAGCCAAGGTATGTAAAAGAAGTCATGAAAAGCATCACTTTGGACCTACTCCTATGATGAGATGAAAATTCTCCTTAATGAAATTTTATTTCACTTTTTAATGGCTATGATCACACCCATTGTTTTTGGGATTGAAGAGTCGTGTGGGTGCGGTGGGGAAGCCTAGCCGAAGTGCTATGCTAGTTATTCTTGTGCTATAGTTGAGCAGTGCAAAGAACATTCAACGGCAGTGTTGGCTGGAGTTGCTATGTTTTGAAACAGTAAATAAGAAATTTATCATATTGTAGATTTTATAGCAGCAAATGCAAATATATTTTACCTTCCCTTCTGTGTTGAAATCAAATGATGTCAAGACAGTTCCTTTGACGAACTTCACTCCTTTAGACTTGTAAAATTCTTCATAGTAACTGGCAATCTTGGGGGTAAATAAACGGGCCACTGCACCGAAAAAGACCAAAAAAAGGATGAAAGAATGTGCATACGATATTTTATTAACACGACATCTATTGCAAAAAAGCACCACTTGTTTTGTACTTGAAAAAGGGTTGTTGCAAGCCGGGTATTCCAGTCCCACATTTTTGAGCCAATAATATTTTGACTAGAAAATAATGGGTAATAGCATCTAACAATGAGGTATTGCGTATTATTAATTGTCTTCCCCTCCTTCCAAAAACAAAGAAAAAGAAGAACAGAAAGATACATCACAATTCATTAAGTACATGTTTGGAACATACTACAGTATAATGGACAAGATTTTTACTCCTTTTCTTCATAAATACTGTCTTGTTCATCTTACCAAACATGCCATAAATGTAACTACATTTGACAACATAACGAACTTCAAAAACTAAAACTGGAAATGAAGTAGAAGAGCAGAATGCAGATAAAATTACTCACTACAATGTGCCCTGGGTAGAACCATAGTAACTTTTAATTTGTTTATCGCCAAAGATGCAGCACATTCCATTCCTATATAGCCTCCACCAAGGACAATGGCATTTCCACCACTAGAGGACTGCATGACATTTACAAGTTTTTCTGCATCTGCCAAATCTCTTAAGTAGCACACATTAGCGGCATCAGATCCTCTCACCCCAGTTTCTTCCAGCTTCAAAGGCTATAGTAAGTATAACACGTGAAAATCAATCAGAGTGGAAAATTTTGTTGATTCCTCCTCTAATTCGACAATCAATATGTATGACCATGTAAAATATTTTAAATCACAAATTTGAATTCTGAAAAGAAATTTATAATCTCGTGGATCTTGCTCCATTTGTTATACAGTTGTTCCAATTATTAAAAAAAACCAGAACAAGCGCATTCTTGGCAAATCATGAAAAGTAGGCACAAGAACTTCTAAATTAAAATTGGTGGTGTTGGGTGTAAGATTTGGGGGTCCATCTTAAAAGGTCAACTTTATTAAGAGGAGTAGCTCAAGATCTTTATTAATTGGTCTGTGTTAACATCTTTATTCGATGTGGGATTATATCCCTTAACACATTAAGATTTGGGGGTCCATCTTAAAAGGTCAACCTTATTAAGAGAAGTAGCCCAAAATCTTTATTTATTGGTCTGTGTCAGCATCTTTATTCGATGTGGGATTATATCCCTTAACACGCCCCCGCAAGATGGTGGCTCATTTGAGCAGACCAATCTTGAAATCCACGTGCTCACTTTTTAGAGTCTTACCGGGATCGAATCGCTCGTTGGAGCATAATGGGCTCTGATACCATATTAAGATTTGGGGGTCCATCTTAAAAGGTCAACCTTATTAAGAGGAATAGCCCAAGATCTTTATTAATTGGTCTGTGTCAACATCTTTATTCGATGTGGGATTATATCCCTTAACATTGGGTTTTGATACCCAATAAATTCGAGTGATGATTTAAAACAGATGTTGGATAATTTATCGACACCATGGCTTGGCTCGACTTGGAAACGACCAACACTTTTGGATGGCCCAAGTTGTAGTTGAGTTGAATTTATTGGTCTTGGCTCTGGTTATTAAGTTGTCCAATTGTTAGCCCATTTTAAAGGTAGTTTAAGTGGCAGCCCACTTAAAGTTTTTTGGCCCAACTTTAGAGGTAACCTAATGCATCCATATATATTCACTTGGTTTCCCAGCCGTGTGTGTGTGAGCGCTACAATAGAAGGGAGAGTGTGAGAAGGGGCAGCCATTGTTATTCATCCTTTCTTCCCTATTGTAGTCACCACCTTGTGTCCTTTGTGGGTACTAAATAGAGGGCAGCCTGAGAGGGTAAAGAGGGCAACCAAAAGTGAAGAAAGTTTGGGTCAAGCCTTGGTGGTTGCGGTGTTCGTATGGTTGGTTTTTGTGAGCCCGGATCAAGATTTCTCTAAGATTTTAACAATATGTGGAATGCTTATTTCCTCTTTTATCGAGTACAACAGAGAAAAACAGGAAAATCACTTCCCTAAATCTAGCCACAATTAGATCATCATTTATCGAGCGAAACTGAGGTAAACAGAAAAGATTAGTTTCAATACCCGAGCACCTGTTGCAACAATGAGAATTTTGTAGCTTATGGTTTCTCCTGTCGCAATTAGTAGCATTTTGCTCTTCACATCAGCCGACTTAACTTGTGTATTAAGAATCAATTCAATACCTAAAGAATTACATTTCGGAGAAAGTAATTAATTAAACATAATATCTTGGCCAGTTAAAATAATCTCCAAAATAAATCAGAAAAATGTGAGAAAATCATAGTTTTGAAACTGATTTTCTAGTACCTCTGCTAAAAAGTTATCACGAGGCTACCTTCGCATGGAAGTCAATCAATCAATTAGAAAAAATCATGACCTGGGGAAGAGCACAAATCACCCACTTGTGGAGCATTTCATCGTCTAGAGTACCTTGGGAGACTCGGGGATGGATAAAAACGAAAGGTCTGACTGAATACTGCCTTCATCACATTTTTAGCAGAAATCATAAACTCATTTACCAATACTTCTTATTTCCTCAGTCTCGTCTAAATTAAGAATGTTAACTCACTGAAAAGCTTGAGCTTTTAGACGAGGTGCTTTACGAGATTTACACCAGGCATTCTCTATACTCAAATCTCAATGCCATCTATTTATGAGAATTCCATGTGTCAGGTCTTCGAGGAAGAAATCATGTACCTTAATCGATTTGTTGGAAGCCAACTTTAAATCGTATCCAATACAAGTACAATTACATGAAGATGGTTTCATTTGATGGTTGTAGAACCAATAGGTAACATGGAGGAGTAAAAGCATGCATGATGATATGATAGAAGAACACCATTAAGGCACTTGATTTACCTATCAACCAAGTACAAAAACTTGTGACATCTAACAACTCCTATCAGAAGCCAGAATGGGAGGTAGAATTACCATGTTCCTTGTACCATTTCGGGGTTAACTTCTCCTCATTGGAACCTACACAACAATGAAATGATGGGAGACGAGCAGGATCTGCAAGTAAAAACAAACATAAAGGGTTAAGTCACATACTGTGTTAAAGTTTCATTCTCACACTTGGATTAACAGTACTAAGGGATAATGATAACCGCATAAGTGCATCCAAGAAATAGAAAAGAATAAACACAATAGACAAACATGCTTCGAAAGTATTTTAACTGAAATTAATTATTTCACAAAGATTGCAGTAGTATTGTCCTTGTACAAGAGTGCAGGTGCTAACTCTCCATTATAAGGAGTTTAATGCCTTAAAAAACAATGGAATTCATCAATTGATTTATATAGGGCCACATCCTAGATTTTACCTGTTGAAGATTAAGATCATTTCTACAGTTCAAATAAAATGGAATCTTTTCAACCCAAATAAAATATTACAACATATTTTTTTTAAATTGCTCGTTGGTGAATCTGTTTTCTTGTTGCCAAGTGATCCTTCATTTGCATTATGCCATTAGTTCAAGGAAAACATTGTGAAATAAGACAAGAGATTGGAATAATTTTCCAGTAATAGCGCCAATTTTCATCCAATAAAACATTGTGTTAAAGTAATGAATTTTTCCAAAGGGACATCTGGACCTCCAACCTAACAACAGGCTACTAATTCTGTGACTACAGAACCTTGCATTACTCCAAGAAGAGACTGACTATATTAAAGCTGCATGATATATTGGCTTATAAGAAGTGCATTGGAAGAAATCTGAGACATTTATTGATTCAGGAATTGCAAGGGAAAGATCACCTTCTGGAAGTAAAAAACCTTTGCTTAATGCAGGCCTTTCATATGGTGCAACCTGCAAAAGTGTACAAGAATCAATAGCATATCCAAGTATAAATAGGCTAAAGGATTGTTGATAGACTATCTCTCTCAAGACTTTACTACTTTCCACTGAGCAAATTAGAATGTCTTGAACCAAAAATCTCTAGCAATTGTTTAATAATATTGTTATCTATAATTATTGGACATTAAGAGGCTTGGGATGAATTAGCAGACATCAAGATTCAAGAGTAAATAGAAAATGTACCATGATACTGGCACACATAACAGTTGTTCTAGGATTTTTACTCAGTTCCCAAGAATCCATTAAGTTGTTTTAGGATTTTTACTTGGTGCTCAAGAATCCATTAAGTTCTGAGATTTCTGTAATTAGAATTTCCCTTGTTTCACAAATGCCAAAATGGAAAAGTAAAATACACAATCTCTACAAAGTCAAATGGATCAACCTTTGGACATCATAAGCTAGAATTCAAATAGATCAACATTTACTTATTTATAATTTATCTACCTTTTTTGTTAAGCGTTCAATGAGTCAGCCCATTCCAACTCCAAAACTGCTTTTAGGAAGTATATGCAATTTTTATATATGATATGATTATTAGTTTTAACTCAAACTTGATGCTCAAAAGCTTTTTTTACATTGATGCTCAAATGAAGTATAGAGAAGAAGGAATTGCTTCGTTACGCTGATCCAAATGCTAGATTCTTATTCTAGTGCTTGTAACAGAGGTTTAGTCGACATGGAGCATTACTATTAACAACATAGTAAAAAAAACTTGACCATAATAATATGACAGCATTAAGTCCATGTTTGATGACCATTATTTGAAAACTCTATTTTCTAAATACTCATTTTCAATCACATTTATACAATAAAATATTCTGCATGTAAATTTAAAACTTTTTCAACTTTTTAATCACATTCTCCTAAAAAAAACACTATTCAAAACATTATTTTTTCCAAATAATAGCCATAAAAAAGGGGCTAAAATTCTCAAATTATGAGCACGACTCATAATGACATGTTTGGTATAGAAGATTGAACAGAATGTATTGAGAAAGAAAAAAAATTAAAATCTTATCATATCATATTATCCATTGCATTAGTATCTAGTACCAACCAGACACTAAAATTTTAGCCGAACCCAGCCACCTGAGTTTCCCAAGTGGAGGAATAACTTGTGGAAACAGCATAACCCAATTACGAAGAATAAGCAAATATAAAACACAAAAACTAAAATTCAAAGCATTGGTACCATAATCGTACTCAGAATTATGCCATACCCAAAATGCAAACAGTGATAATCGCCAAAATAAATAATATGAAATAAATAGAGAATTATACCGATTCTTCAGAGATTATACAGAGTTCTCCATGAGAAACGCCTCTTTTAACAAATTCATGAGCTGCATATCCAGCTGCCACTCCTCCTCCAACTATTACATAAACGAACGCTCTCTCCATGTGATCTTCTCTCTCTCACCCACTCACTCACTCTGTATATGTATATGTATATATATAATATATTATTATGCTTTTTCTACTTCGGAGGCTAGAATTTATTCGTTGAGGGACAACCAAATAACTAACGCTTTGGAAAATGATTCTGTAAATAATTATGAAAATTAAATTTGAAAATTGTCAATCCATCGTCCATGACGATTGTGTATTTACATTTTGCCTTTGATCTGGTTGATTCCGCTTTGGATGGTTATATAGGCAGTGTGATTTTCTACATTGTGTTTAAGGTTTATTATAATACTTATGTTTAAAACTTTTTTTAATTCAGAACTCTTATATTTAACTTTCCCGTAATTCTTATATCTCTTCCTTGATGGTTCGTTAAGTTATAATTTATTTTTTATCTCTCCTTGTCAATCGTATATTTTTTAATAAAATAATATTATACATAAACCAAAAAATTTTAACTTCTTTTTTTCCAAAAAATTATTTTTCATCTCAATATAATGTAAAATAATGTGGGTCAAACAGTCGCCAAATATTCTATTTTTGAATCCTTTGAAATGAGAAATAAATATTTTGTTGCAATTTTATATTTATTACCTTTTTAAAATTTGTTATTGGAAAACAAGTTGTTTTAGGCTTGTCAACAAACTTTTTGGACAAAAATTATTATCAAAGTATGTGTACTAATTAATGTAGGGTGTTGAACTCCTTATTGCAATTCGAAAATCGAATGATTTGGGTTGACGGCAAACGCTCATTTGCATGCCGATGAATAATAGGTACCCCCACCCCAAGCAGAAGTAGTGAGCGGTGAATAGGCCTTGCTCTTAGGAAAAAAAAAAAAAAAGTACGGACGAAGACAACTTTTACATTCTCAAGTTACAAAGAGGATAGACTACCGTTGGACATGAATGTTATAAAGAGCAAAGATTAGGGGACCTTAAGTACAATGAAAAGGTGATGCAACCGATAAACATTATGGTGTAAATTTTTTTTTTTTAATTGGTTATGTTTGAATTATATTCCATGTTTGAGCTTATTTTTTAGAATAGAGTTTATAAAAATCAAATTTTAAGAAAATGAGTTGTTAAAAAATAAAAAGTAAGGAAACTTTACATGTAAAATTATTTTATTAAAAAAAATTATATACTTGGCAAGGAATTTAAAGAAAAAGTTTAATTATGAGATTAAAGCTTCAAAATTGGAAGAAGATAAAAACGCTTTTATCCTCAAAGCTGTGAAGCACACTACTCTCTAAAAGAATTGGACACACCCTTTTAGCATCTCTTCTTCATGCACTCAAATGGGAATCAAGATTCTCACGCATTCCCTAAAATCAAGGGATTCTTTCGATGGAGTATAGCCAAATGGTAAGACATCGATTTCTGGAACCGATTCAAATCCTTTTACTCCATATTATAAACCCCGTTTGATTCTCGTTATTTCAAAACTCATTATTTTCTTAAATTCATTTTCAATTATACATTTTCACGATAAAATATTTCGAACATAAATCTAAATTTTTTTTCTATTCTTTAGCTACGTATTCTCTAAAAATTTACTATTACAAAGCTCACTTTGATGAAATAATGAGCATTAAACAGAGGCTTATATGAAATTAAAAATTTCTACTAAAATTTATCTTTGGCGTATAATATTAATAAAGCAATTATGAACGTTGGACGAAAGGAATAAAGAGTTTCATTCCATCAAAACATTTACTTTTATCTTCACTTTTATTAAGAGAGGCATGGGTACCAAAATGACAAGTATTTAGACCCCGTTCGGCATGGCTTTTAAAAAGTTAAAAGGAATTTTTGAGATCCAAGAGCTGCTTATTTGATTAATTTTATGAAAGTATTTCTTTTAGTTAGAAATTTTTTTACAGGGAATTGATCTAATATAATTTCCTTTAAAAGCATTTTTGGAATAGGAAATTCTTTTAGGGGTCGTTCTCTTCGTGTTTCAATTTTGTGTTTTGAATTTTGAATTCATTTTCTATTTTGTGTTTTGAGTGTATCTAAATTTTTTTTCTATTCTTTAACTAAGTATTCTCTAAAAATTTACTATTACAAAGCTCACTTTGATGAAATAATGAGCTATATGAAATTAAAAATTTCTACTAAAATTTATCATTTGCGTATAATATTAATAAAGCAATTATGAGCCCAACGAAAGGAATAAAGGGTCTCATTCCATCAAAGCATTTACTTTTATCTTCACTTTTATTAAGAGAGGCATGCGTATTTAGATCCCATTCGGTATGGCTTTTAAAAAGTTAAAATGAATTTTTGAGATTCAAGAGCTACTTATTAGATTAATTTTATGAGAGTATTTCTTTTAGTTAGAAATTTTTGTATAATTTCCTTTAAAAGCACTTTTGGAATAGGAAATTCTTTTAGAAATTAGTTTTCAAACAAAAATTAATGTAACTTTATCGTAGAACTGTTTTACAGAAAGTAAAATTAAAAGTCATGCCAAATCAGCCTTTAATAAATGTAAAATTACCTTCCCAGTGCATGATTATGCTTATTTTCTAATAATTATAAACTTGAACATACACAAAAGAAAAGTAATTATTTTCCTTCACGAGTTTTCTTTTAAGAGTAACTTGGTTTACCCTCGTGAGTTGGAGAAAGTGGATGAAGGATTGCTCCACACACACTCACGAGACAAATTTGAGCTAACTTGATCGAGTTGATGTATTATCATTTTGAGTAATCTTAATATTTTTGCTATTAGTCTCTCACTAAACATTATTCTTATTTAACCGAATTTTGATTATTACTCTTAATTAAATTTAAGGAAAAATTGCACAGTTGGTTCTCAATCTAATATTTTAGTTGCGAGTTGGTCATCAACATTTATTGCAGAACTAATTTTTAATACAAAATATATCCAATCTTTGTTGAATTATCATGTCACCTCACTTATAATTTTTGAATAATAGCTCAAGTTATAAAGGCATCCTAATTTCATAATGTTAGACATGCGGGAATTATGAACGTCTTAACATAAATTTCAACAATTTTTGCGATTGAGGACTTATTGTGCCTCAATAATAAAAGATTAAGACCTACTTGCTTCCTTTTAAATCTTAATAATCCGTTGCATCTTTGAAAATAAGAAGTTCCACCCAAACTACACCTAGAGGGGATTGAACATGTGATTATGCAGAATTAATAACTAAATAATTAACTAACAACATGTCACTATTAATTATCTCTAGATGATTAATCAAACAATCTAATTTCCTATGTTGAAATATCGTAGTTATATGAAAGTAATAACAAACACAAGAAATGATCACGGAGAAACTCCAATTAGGTAAAAACTCCGGCCACTTTGTCAGTCAACAATCCACTATCAACGAATTAAAACTTACAGTCCGCCGACTCGACCACCACTAGTACTTTCTAACCTCCTGACTGTAATTCCAATAGCTCTCCTGGATTTCGTGCTCCTGCATCAACTACCAGCTGCAGTTTTCAAAACTCTCCTGAATTGCGCTCTCCTGCAGCAACTCCCAGTTTTGTGAATTCATCTATCTCCTGTGGATTAATGAAGAATTCTGCGTTCTTCAACAACTGGAGCTCCAATCACATTCCCTTGATCTTCAGAACTCTGATAGATATGTAAGAAGCATCAGTTTGGTATTTGGATTGTGAATATGATGTTTTTATCGCCAATAGTCAATCACAGAACGAAGGTTGAAAGCGAATTTGATGAAGATGAAATGAAGAGAATATGTTTTAAAACTTATTACCTTTTTACCAATTTGTTAGAAACAAACTTATGTTCTTTTTAAAAATATGATAAATCTCTTATTTTTGTTTGATAAAAAACTTAAAAATTTAAAATTAACTTTAAATGGGGCGAGTAGCGGGACAGGGACTATGATTCGCGTACCCGTCCCGTACCAACTTCGAGGCAATGACACTCGCCCCGTCCCCGCCCCCGCCCCCGCCCCATTTAGCCGATTAGGCGGGTAATCTTCGTCCCGTTCGCAGCAGGGTCGCACGGGTTTCGGGTTGAATGAGTTTTTTTGCCATCTCTAGAGGGGACTTTTCCTACCCTGTTTCGTTATCATCTTTGTAATTTTTTTTTTTGGCTTTTTAATCCTACTTACTTGATTTATTGGTGCAAGATGCTATAAGAAAGATATCATGATGACAATATCACATCGGTGACAATTCGATTGACATGTAGCGGTAGTATAGGTAATTTTGTTTGTAGACGTAGAGGCTTTATTTGATTCAACACAAGTATCTCCCTACTTGCTATCTTCCTTTTTCATAGAGTCAGCGAAGAAAAAAAAAGTTAAAATTTTGTTCATTACTCATCAAACTGCGTACTGAACATGCATGTAATTTTTTATCCAGCATGTGAATGCGGTGAAGGAGCCAAGGTTGTTCTTGTAAATCCAAGTGCCAATTGATATTCAAGAAAGCTGGTGCCTTGTTATAAGGGTTGCCGATCGTTTGGTTTTTGAAAGTGTGGGGGTGCATTTTAGATATTTCTAATATACATTGGAAGTTTGTTCTACTATGATTGACGTTTTGGTGCCGTGTTATAAGGGTTGCCGATCGCTTGGATTTTGAAAGTGTGGAGGTGCATTTTAGATAGAGCTAATATACATTGGTCGTTTGGTCTACTATGATTGACGTTTTTATTTTTTCCTTCTAATTTTATTTGCATTGTCATCCGGTTCTTGCTAGATAGTTCACGTCACATGCTTCCTTGCTTTCCTACTTTATATTTATTTTAGATATAACGAGAATATTTGGGAGTCTAGATGTGATGAAGACACAACTAATCACATTTCTTGTAGTGATGAACTTGAGAATTTGGAGGTTGATAATCTCAAAATCAAAATTAACAAATTCATTTCACCTAGTTAAAGCTTTCTTTAAAACTCAATGAAATTTGCTGAAAATAAGATTTTATAGAGAGATTGACTATTTGAAAAAAAAAAATAGTGTATATCCAATTTTTAT